CTGCTTTTCCATCTGTCCATATTTTCGGAAGTTTGACTTCTAAACTTCCTTCGATAATGACCTTGGAAAGCAGGATCTGTGTGAACTGAAGGAGGCAAATGAGGAAGCTTGTGTGTGTGTGACGATATGTGAAAGATATGTGAAAGACGGCCATGGCGTCAGATGCACACAAAGTCACAAAGTCATTTTATTCACCTGTACCAACCCGCCTTGAGCCTTAGATCTCCAACCCTGAATCTGCTCAAGGCACCCTGAGGTGTTGCTTTTCAACAGGCAATTCTCCTTGATGATCAGCACGCCATTGGGCCTCAGGGCACCTCGAAGCCTCTCCAACACAGCCAACAAGTCAGCATCGGTCAAGTACAGCAGCACCCACTGGACCCAAATGAGATCATACCTCAGCTGACCAAGATGGGATGCACTGAAGATTCGCTGCGTCATCTTAGTCTATCACTGAAATATCATGAAATATCATGAAATATCATGAAATATCATGAAATATCATGATAGATGATAATAGATGATAATAGATGATAATAAATGATAATAGATACTGATAGTGGGAAGCAGACCCCTTGGGGTAGCAGGAAAGGTGCTGATCTGGCAGTTCTGTCACGTCCTGCAAGGACAGCTCCAAGAAATGCCGCGCTTTGGATTGCACCAGGCGCTCTCGAGCTTCCTGAGCATCGATTAGGTCAACTAAGCAGATCATCCACCAGTAGGTCTTGCCTCGATCTTTGGAATCCAGGAGAATCCCCAATGGTTTGTCTCAGTTTATCCCAGTTTATCCTACATCCAGTCATGTCATGTCATGGCTGTCGTCACAGCCGATGACAGCCGGTCCTGCAGGAGGTGTCCGCAGGGCTCCAGTAGATCCACTGCATCTGTCACCTGCCGCAGCAGCAACCCTTCGGTGATGCGACCCACACCTGCACCGCAGTCCAAGGCTGTCGCAAAGAGGCCATGCCGAAAGTTCCTCAGCCGTGAGCTACATCATTGGAAAGCACAAAGAGGATCACGAAAAAAAAACGGTAACTTGCCTGTGGATCTAGGATTGAAAGCTCTTTTAGGCAGTTGCTCGCGAAAAAATGTATAGAATGCATATAGCCATATAGCTATGTAGCATGGTCTGGGAGAAGACCTGAGACCCAATCTTTGCCAAACATTGAATCAGGACGACTAAATGGTACTGAACACATCAAAATGCAAAGTCCACCCCAAAAACCACCGAAACTCACCATCTAGTGAGTCACTAGTGAGTCCTGTGGACGCCATTCTGCTCCCTGCAATCTTAGCTTCTGGCGGATAACCTCTAAGAAGTCGGCGGATTCTTTCAGGTCCAGCGGAGAGGTCTCCAAATGACCATCCAAAACACCCGCGTCAGTGGCATCCTGAGGGCATAGGATGATATAGGGAACATGTGAAGCCTGCCATGCTCCAAATGGTCTCACAAGCTCAAAACCCATTGCGCCAATCACTCTTCACACTGAGACCCCAAAACCAGGCTAGTTTGCTAGGGTAATCCCTGTCATTCCCTGGTGACTTCTCCGTTGATCACCTCAAGAAAGGATTTCACCGTGGCCGCTTCTCCAACTGTCCTGCTTGGACCAAAAGTGCAGGGATCGTTGATACCATTCCTTCTCCCCGAGGTCCTTCCATGGCTGATGAGACTTCCTCTTCGCAACTGGCACAGGCTCCACAGGCTGAGGCAGACCATCAGCTGACTGTTTCGTGGCCACAAAAATCCGATGTCTCTCCTCCAAAGGTGGTATCTTCAACTCCGGAGGCATGGGTGTGACCCACATCTTCAGTTTTCTTGTCACATCCACGGCCTCAAAGCCACATTTCTTGGCTTCCGAAACGATGGCCTCAGAGAGATCCACACCACAGGGCCGTAGCTCCACAGCCAGCAGCACCTCGGCTGCAGCTGTGGTCAACATCTTCGCGCTGCGAAAGAACTTGGACACCAGGTGATGTTCGTACAGAACGTCGGAGGCCAACAGAAGGTCGAACGGCCCGTCTGCAAGGACCAAATCCTTTGAGTCCTGCTGAAATAGAAGATATAGAAGAGAAACGGACAGAATATATCAGAATACCAAGTGTTGGTGGTGCTTAAACATTCTTCAAGCTGAAGTTTTCGAGAAATATTCAGAACTTTGCTGAAAGCCTGTAAGGGCCTGTAAGCTGAAAATGCTGAAGGATTTGTATGGATTTGTTGTATCTTTCCATTGCCCAGCTCCTGTTCACTGGCAAAGTCGAATTTGATCACCTTCAAGTCTGGCCCCCCAGTTCGCCTCGAGAAGTCACAACAGTTGGCACGTAGTAGTGGAAGGACCCGAGGATCGCAGTCAGAGAATGTCACCTCAGGGGATCACCACGCTGCGCGAAACAAGTCTTCAACACTTAAATCCTTCGGAGATTTCAGATTCACATCTTTGCAATGTCCTTTAATTACTTCAATTCAAGATCTTTCCGGGAAATTTGTTGGGACTTTCACCATGGTCTCAGTTTTTTGTCTCTTACTGTGGTCTCATGTTCTCACCTGCACCCCATGTGCTGCCGCCACCAATCCTGCCACCCCGCAGCCGCTGCCCAGCTCCAGCGCCGACGGCGCCGACGGCGCCGGCTTCGGCGCGAAGGCGTAGCGCCGACGGAGCTGCGCCGCCAGCAGCTGGGCGCTGGGCCAGAGATGGGATCCAACGGCACCGGGGAGACCAAAAGGTAAGGCCTGGAAAAAACATGGAAAACATGCAAAAACTGGAAACACATGACACAGAATGAGAAATTCGGAAAAAAAATGGAAAGAATTGAATGAATGGAATGAATTAATTGATTGAATGGGAAGAGGCACTGTTCTGAGTTTTTGCTCAAATGTGGACTGAAAGAAGATGGGGTATCAAATGCTGAATACAAATCAAAAGGTTAAGCCATGAATTGATCAACTGCAACCAGGCATAACCAGGCCATGTTGATAACAAAATGTTAAGTCTTTGTACCTGCAGTTGCAGATGACCCTCAGGAGCCGCCATTGGAAGTAGCACGTCGCAAAGCCGCGATGGTGTTGTGCCTTGCTCCTCCTGGTTGGTACAAGTTAAGCTCAGCCCAGGTGTCTCAGACATTATACAGCACACCCTGTAACGATTACAACGGTGTGGTGCCACTGTATCTTGACGCAGGTGGACATACCCAGCATCTATGAAATGGAGTGCATAAATTTGATAAAGGGAGCCTGTCAAAAAATTGAACCGGGCTGGGGGTTTTGCAGGTTTTGCCCAACCCAAAGTGAAAAAACATCGGTTCCCATTACTTCCAACATCTTCCAACCCGCAATGTTTCACCATGAGTCCTCCATCTCCATGGAGACTTCCAAGGATCTGCTGTGCCGATGGAAGCGAGCCCCAGAGGTGGACGCCTTGTAAGTGATCTGCACCTGGGACTTGAAATGCGGGTCAGCAGAGCTGGCAGAGCTGGCAGAGCTGTCACAAGTGCAAGGGAAATTTGGGGTGAAAAATCAAACATTGGTGGCAAAACATATCCCAGGTCCCAGATATTTCCAGATCCATTCTCCCTGCGGTCCATGACACCGCCCTCTTTGTCCTCTCATCAATCACCATCAGCAAATAAAATGTATCAAAATTTCTATACCCGCTGCTAGGGTTTCCAAAGGGCACCTGGAGCCCAGTCTCCTTTACGCCCAGCTCAAAGTCACCGAGTCCCGCCACCACGCGCACTGGAACTTCTGGAACTTCCAGTTGCTCCACTTGGCATTTGGGCACGGCGAGAAGCACGGTGCCAGGCACGTCACAAGCCAGATGCAGGTCGATGTCATTGGCCCTTTTGGCCCATGGAATGGTCAAAGTCAGCTTCAGCTGCATGGAACCCTTGGAAGTTCCACATGCCACTGGGAAGACTCGAAACCAACTAAAACTGTTCCAGCTGGTAAGCCATCATGGAGAAACTGGTTTTGCTGAAACGTGTCAAAGCTCTTGGAGCTCATTTTTCATCGCTTTGCCTCAAAGTAAATGGACTGGCCATGTCATATTGCTGAAAATCACATATATAATAGAACCCTAATGACATGTCTCTTCAACATCTGTCTGCCTTTGTGTTTGTCTCTGTGTCTCACAATCTTCAAAGCGTACATGTTCCCAACCATTTAATCTACTTTCTCAACAAAAGCACAGCATTTCCTCCCACAGAAAGACAATCTGGCGGGCAGACGTGAGGGCATTGCAATGGAAGTCTTCATCCACAGAACTTGTTTCAACCTTGAAATAGGCTGAATCTTGTGGCTTCTTTGAGACTTGATAGACTTGTATGAGGCATTCTGGGACTATCTGGGACTTAGGTTTCAAGCAAATTGCCAGACATCCCACTGCGTTCACCCCTCCCAGTGATCACCTAACTCCGCTGAGGAAAGGTCTTCAAAGTTCATGGCACGGGAGTAGAGGGAGATGTTGTGGAAGGCAGAAAGCAGCTTCAACATCGTCATGAAGGTCTGCGGATCAAGGGGATTTTCCAGTTGCAAAGTTAGCTGACCCTTTGGCCCTTTGGGATTCGAAAGTGCATGGCTTCACATTGGAGAGTGGTACACTGTGGTACACCGGCTCTCTGCCTATGGTATCATATCTCAGATGTGTTTCCCAGCAGTGAGCTGGGGGTTTTGGCTCGCTTCCTCCCACCACTAAGGAGAATGCAAAATGAAGAGGCTGAACTAAAACCTCAAGCCACAAGCGTGATCATCGTGATCTATCTACGCCTCCTCCATCGATCCGTGCGCCTCATCAGCACATGCGGCCTGGGAAGGATCCTGATGTTGCCCATGGAAAAAACAAAAAACGTTGGTGGAAACATCAGTTTGCCAGTCCAAGGTTTGCTTTCAATATGCGATGTTTAAGGCCAAAATGCTTGTTCTAGCAAAGAATAGGTTTGCACTGAGAGGAAATGGATAACTGACCGTTTCGGTCACCTACCACGATGTTTGCTTGAGAGACATATAGCACCATCTTCTGCATGACCCCATGCACAGACTCTCCTGAGACGATGAGGCGTCCGCAGCCTCAGAGCACAGCAAAGTTGATCAACCCGGAACACGCAGAGGTTGTCGTGTCGGTGTCCTTTCACGTAGTCCCCTCTTGTGTCGGATCTCATGCTACCTGTCTCTGGGCTAAGAGGAATAGCTTTCATTGTTTTGAATGTGCGGTATACATTTCTGCGTGATCTTTCACCAAATTTGTCTGGAAAGGAAAAGACTTGCCACTTTTTTTGCGCTGCAAAAGGAGCGAGCATCGTGACATTATTTACAATAGATGAGGCATATGATGTATTTTTCTCCCTCACTGCACGCTGAGCTCCACCTGATCCACCTGTTCAGTAGCAGTTTTTGCAACTGAAAGCACGATCAGCAGAGTGTTGCAGCAAGCATTGCCTGGAGATTGCGCGATGACGTCACCGACCTGTTTCAAAAGGGTGTCTTGCGGCAGGGCATCACCTTTGGGCCCCTTTCGCTACTCCGAGCTTGATTTCTTCGCAAGGACAAATCCCCCCTCTCAGCCTCCTTTAGGCCTAGGCCACACCTGTGCCTCAACATCTTCCGTGATGAGACAGTGGTCTGGAAGTATATCTTTTGGCATTGACTTGCTTGTCTTCCACTTGTGAGACATGCAGCAAGCTGTGCTTTGCACGCCAAAGAGATCTGCAACTTCACGGCATCATTCAGCATGATGGACGACGTCCCGTCCGTCTTCTTTGTCACCTCATGGCAGTGGGGGGGAACTTTGGAAGCCAAGTCCCCATCATCCTTTCTGTCCTTTCTTGCCGCTATCTTTATCTTGACAGCCCATGTATGAGGATTGTGCGATTTCTGGGAAAAGACTCATGACTTCAAGAATGCTGACCAGAATACCAGCCCTTCCCAAGAATCTCATCATGCGAGTCTTCCAAACCTACAACCCACGCAGCTTGCCTGTGTTCTTCTGAAATCACAACCCACGCGCCTGGTACACGAAGGTTACAGTGACTACAGTGACTACAGCTGCAGCTTTCCACTGACAGTTGAGCAATGGCTTTCTCGACATCCCCAGGCCGCAGTCCATGAAAGGTGCTGGTGCGGATGAGGTGTTGAGCTGGGAAGCCTGACAGGTTTCAACACCGGTGCTACAAGTTGGCCGCAACGTTCACAAGCCAAAGCAGAAATGGAAAGCATACCATGTTTTCCACAAATTGTTGTTGCAAGTGAAGAATAAGTTGCAAACCCACAAAAAGTTGCGAATCAACAATAATCAAACAGCGATCAACTTGAACTACCTCTGCTTTATGCCTACTTTTGGTCTCTCCGCCTCCATCCTTTGCCAGGTCTAAGTCATCCAAAGCCAACCAGTGCGGGATCTGCACCAGATTCCCATGCCGTTGGAGCCACCGAGTGATTTCCACACCTGGGACCACAACCATTAACAGGTTCAGCAAAGACAACCACCTGGATCTCCAAAGAACCAAAGTGAATCGTGATATAATTCAGTGATATTCGGTGATATATAATAGTATCAAATAGTCGTGCCTTGCGTAATCTTCATTACCATCAACCAGAAACAACATGTTTCAACCATGTATGATTCTGGATCTTTCTGGATATTCTGGTTGTTTGGGGTTCCAGAACCTGCCTCGTCCGCGTAGTCCTGGCCATCCACTGACATCCGTGGCTCCAAAGAGTGACATCCCATTCTGCTGCAGGGCGCTGGTGAGACGCGCTGTGGCTCCACTGGACTCGCGCCAGCTGCTGGTGAGCACCAAAATCGCCTGGGCGGATTTCAGGGGGCAGATCATTGACGACCGGACACATTGTTTTGGGGAACCGAAGTTGGATCATGAAAAGACGATAAAAAGAGGATGTACTTCCCAGTAAAAGGTCTTCAGAATTCAGAAAGGCTCATCACGACTTGTTTTCTGCAGCCTTTTCTGAGCAAGTCACATCTGTGGCATCCACCAGGCGCCGCAGCTCCTTTAGACACTGAGGTCGCAAAAGGTCCTGTCACGCCCCATGGTTGGAGTGGCCAAGTACCAGTACCATTGAATTGATTATGGCAGGGGTACTAAAATGTAGAGCTAACCGCTAACCTCGGAAAATCTGATGATTCAAATGCATTTTGCCTCAGCTCATCATGAGTTCCAAGATTACTTCAGAATGTTCGAGCCGCATCTCCTGACATTTGTGCGCCTCGTAGGTGCCAGGGTGTAGGACGCCATCCACATCCAAGAAGATTACAGGACGTGCCATCCAGATGTCGACCCATCCAGTGACGCAGTGATCACATGGACTTTCGAGAACCCATATAAAGCAAGCGTCATGTTGTACCAAAGGGTAGTTGTGGGGTCTACTTCAAATACTTCAAGTTCTGTCAGAGTTCTTTGGTTCTGAACCCCAACGAATCTTATGCTTGAGCCAGCTTCCCATGCTTGTATGATTGCTAAAGGATCTCCTGGGCATTTCATCTGATCCTCTGAGATTCTTACAGCTGAAGCCTTTGAACCTGGCCACGTGGCGCAAGATTTCATCACACCTTTCACAGAGAAAATACAAGTCCCTGCCATGATTTTCGACCAGCATCGGCTAGCCATTTTATGCCATTTTTCACTCATTGTTTGTTTTCAGCAGGCACCACTACGAGGAGCTAAAACACATGTCAGGTGCTCCTGAGCCATAGATGCCTCCAATGGTGGGCAAGATTCGGAGGTGGCACTGCACCTTAGAAGCTAGAATGCCTGGGGGTCATGAATTATTGGGGGTTCTATCTCACATGCTTTCATAAGAACTTTCTAGGATCATTTGCAGTTAAGGAGGTCAACCCTTCTTCAGCAGATCTAAAAAAAATGAACAAACATAAAGGCTAGTAAAGACTGAATGTCTGTCTCTCAAGTTGTCAGTGAAACAAAAAAAACGCAAATTTCTTGTCTATTGTCTATTCATGTATATGCATAGCGGACAAAATTACTCATTCATTTTCATGCCACGCACAAATTAGGGTCGTCCCCTATCGGCAGTGAGGATTTCTGCGTTCTCAGACGTTTAGGCAACTCATGCAAGACAGGGGTATCTGTATAGGGTCGTCCCCTATCGGTAATGAAGGTTTTGCAAACCCCTCAGCAAGGCCAAGGCGAAGCAAAACTAAATTAGTATTACTGTACAATAATTCTGTGGGTTACTCTAATATATACGTTCCTTGTCTTTGAGGAAATATCCTTCTGTTTCCAGGCAGTTTTCTGAGTCCGGTGACAAGCCAGTCCATGTCAGATGAGACGATCATCACTGGCGGGTCCACTGATGGCTCCTGACACCAGAAGGCCCATCATAGAAAGCTTCTTCCGATGTTTGATTTTCTACTTTCTCAGGAGTGAATTGAGGCTCGCAAATCAAACACCAGTCATCCGAACTTGCTTGATGTGGCTCAATTGGGATGCGGTAAAATCGAGTCTTTCATGCGAATGGCCTTGAATCATATCAAACTGCGGTTTGTTGGATCCATGATGATTCATAATTTACATATATTATCAATTATTATCATATATTTACATAATTCAGAGGTGCGACTCGGGGCTTTACATCTTTTTTCATCATTTGTCCAATTCAAACCTGCTGCGCTCCACTCGCTCTGCTCCTCTTCTTGTGTGGAGTCTTTGGCCTCACGTGGAGAGGTTGCATCAGGGATGAGCTCGAAAGTCATGTGATGGACCTCAGCGGCACAAAAAAGGCACCCGACCCACATGGTACAGACATGGTACAGACATGTACAGACTGTAACCCAATATCACTAATATCTGATGGGGATGGGTTCTAACAGATTCTAACACTTCTCGCTTGGTCTCTGGTTGACCTCAAACCCAGGAATGCGCCGTATGCTCCATGGCCACAAGGCAATCACCTCTATGGATCAGAAAATGAGCCAAGAGGCTTTGCCCCAAATGGAGCCACAAAAGAAGTTTCGGGCCTCAAAGAGGAACAAGAACCCTTCAACCAAAGCCACTTGACCAAATTTGACCATACGACAGTTGGCAAATCCAAAGATCTCGCCATTCCGCTCCACGATTTCAATCCCTATTTGCGGCAAATTCTGTTTCTCCATCTATATCTAATCTTATCACTTTGAACCGAGACCAGAGCTTGTGTCTTCCGACGTGCTGAAGAATCTGGCAGGAGTCAATATATCAAGCTGCAAATTTGGGGTGTGAGTTGGGCGCAATTACAGTTTCAAAAAACCTTCAAGCCCTCACCAAAAAAAGCCATTGCAAAATAGTCCAAACGCATTCTGGGAAAATGTCAGCGTTCAAGCCGCAACTTGCTGAGATGTGTTTGCACGTATCATTAAACGTACTGCTAAATTCTACCCCTGCACTGCATGTCATCATATTTGCTCTTCCACAAGTGATGGCACTCGAAGGGAGACTGTCTAACTGTGCCTTCTCCGGAGCTGGAGTTCTCCTGGTCATGGAAGCTTATGGCTTATGTTAATTTCTGTTTTCCCTCCTGCGTGATGTCTTACATCCTGAGTATTGTCGGAGCAGCTATGTAGCTATGTATACCCACTTTATTCAGAGGAATACTTAACCCCAACCGCTCCAACCAAAAAAATGAATATCGTGGAATATCTTTATGGGATGTACACTTGTACCTGGGAGTCTGGGATATCATAAAACTGAAATCCACCAGCAGGATCCAAAAATTCCATTGCAGCGCCTCTATGGATGCCAAGAAGCGACCACCAACTGTTCGCCTGGCGTGTTGGGAACGATATGAGAACCAGATGACCAATACGAGAAAAGGAAGCTGTGGGTACAAATCTCCGAACTATTTCAAAACATACAAAGTGAGCTTGCTTTTCAGGTTTCCGAGTGGGACTCAAAAAAAAATCAAAATTAATTATGTGAAAATCATTTATATTTACACTTAGCAGTTGTCACCTCCATCTTGCGCAGACTCTTGAGACTCGCCTCGAACGTTTGATCGATCTGTTGAGTTCCTCAAGAGAATGCACCGGCAAGTGCCATGCTTGTGACACTGCTTTCAATACCTGGAAGGACCTGAATATGGAGGTTTCCTAAAATTTTGGTACCCCCATAGCTGGATGGCTTATAATGGAAAATCCTATTAAAATGGATGATTTGGGGGCACCCCCATTTTCAGACCTCCATATGTATTGCAGACCCAAACTGAAATGGCCAACGGTAGCTGATTCTACAGAAAGGATGGGTAGAAAAAAAACTCTTGGCTTCAGATTCAAGGCGAAGCTCTGCATGAAAGCGACATGTGGTGGCAGCCTCTGTGCTTCACAGGGTTCACCGACGCCGTTTCATCCCCATCGGCATCCCATCCCATCCCCACCTCTGCGGGGCTGGACTTCGCATTGTGTACCAACACTTGCACCACCTCACAGGACGCTAAGTCCGTCGAAGCTATAAATCCAGAATGAATCCATCAGGTTTGTGCTGGTCTTTATGTGGTCCCCATGTGGTCCCCATGTGGTCCCGGGTGGATTGAGCTTCCAGGCACTCTCTTTGGTTGTCAGCTCATGGCCGTTGTAGAAAATCCGCACCTTCTCAGTGACACAAAGAAACAATGTGAAACATCTGCTCCACTCATCAATCCACCCATCTCCAAATGATGTTTAAAAAGAATGGAATGAGTCTGGCACCGTCTGCTTCCTTCGCCTTGGTATATATCTGCAACATTGGAGTGAGTTGGCAGAATCAAAATGAAACTCGCAAATGGTCCACACACGGGAGATCACACAGGGGACTGCTTCTCTCGGATTCAAAGGTATTCAAGTCTTTCAGACCATCGAAGCCCTCAATTTGACCAATACTTTTAGAATTCTGCACTGAACCTCTGCATAGTTTGAATCCTAATGGCATGCAAAGGAAGTGTACAGGGAAGCCGTTCATGTCCAATCTTTTCAGATTTCACAGTCTTGAAACCTTTGGTTCATCCCCCAAGGTCCAAGTGAGACCGTGCCCTCCAACTCCGGTGGCTTCTCCGGTTGCGACGCGGCCTGCATCTCGATGCTCATGGGATGGCCAGGAATTCCCACTTCGGTGATTGACATGTTGAAACATGTTGAAACTTGGTGCCCGGCATTTGGAGTGCTGGAACCCTGTGCGGTGCAGGGGCGCGTCGCAAAAAAGGACGAGGTGAGAAAGTGGGATCCAAGCTGCGTAAGACTTAAGACGGTCTTGCTTTGACTTGACTCCTGTTGTAAGATAGCACAGCGAATCAAGTACTTGTGAATCTCGAACAACTTTGCGGACTGGTAAATTTGGATGTTCGCAAGAGCATCTGGGAATCTTCCACTTTGAGCAGTCGTCCTAAACCCATTGATGAATCTATCTAGCCATTTGACATCTCTCAAAGAGCTCCCAAACAGGAGACAGCTTAATGAGGATGGTGCAAGCTGACCCTACCCAATTCTTGAAATGTATTCATCGATGTTCATCGCTTTATCGCCTTGGGCTACATCCCCGCACCTGCAATGATGGTGGATTGGCTGGAGCATCCAACGGCACAGCAGGTGGTGAATAGGCCCCAGCTGGTTCCTGGACGGTAATGTTTTTTCTATGTCGGTCATTGTCAGCATAGAATCATTTACTGCCCCAGGGGCAAACATGGCGAAACTCTCCCACCTGCCGTCCATCATTCAAATCACTCTTGGAGCGAGCCTGCAACCATGAAAGTGAACAATCCCCAACCCATCAATCACCTCCCTGTAGCTTGTAGCTCTGCAGGGGTCTAAAGCAAGGTCCCGATAATATGTCCTGATTGCCTTCTGAAGGGGTTGGTAGAAGCAACCTCAAAGTCTGGATCGAAAGGCAAAATCACAAACAACTGTGCCTTTGCTTGTGGAGGAGGCTGCTTGCAATTCCTGACTCGGGCAACAGTAGCAGAAGAGACCCTCGTCTCACGATTCAACTTGATCAATCCACCGACATACTTAGCTGAAATATCATCTTTGGGTTGCATGGGCATTGGGAAGTGCCGTCAAACTCACGCAGTGTGGGTATTTTGCAGGCTTTCAATCCTGATACTGATTGTGTCCAAGTTTCCAAAAAAGACGAATTAGGTGAGGATTGGAAAGCATTCGCAAATTCTTGAGTCCCCAAGTTTGCTACGACACAGGCTTCAGAGGACATCGCGGGTTGTGACGCCAAGTCTCAATCTCAGTCTGGAAGGTGGCTCGCTGCTGGTGGCTTCTCCTAGAACGTTCCAAAATGGAGGCAATGGCTGCAGATGGCTACAGAGAGAGGATCAGAAAACAAATTGGGCACCTACAAACCCAAAAGATACCCAGAAGGTTTCTCCCTGTCATCCTCAGTGGAATTGAAGGAAATCCACATTTTGAGAGATTTCGAGACAGCTATCTTGTCGTCCAGCTATATAATTCAGGCTAAGTCTTGCAAATCCATAAGACACGTCGTGCTGCTGTGGGGTCCTTCATTGATCTTCTCCTTTCCAGGACCGTGCCTAGTAGGGTAGCTTTTCAGGTGCCGCCCACTTCGTCACTTGACATGTGAGGTCCAAATAGAGTTGGCAAATTTGGAGACCTTTGCTGACTTGTGCTGCCTTTTAGAGATGTTTAATAGATGCTTTATTGATGTTTAATAGACGCTTAGATCAATTCACCCACGGGCCCCAAAACACGATGCCATGCTTTGTAGAGGATCTCACCGTACCGCGAGGGACCTGTAGACATGAAAACTACTTATACTTAGAGATGTCAAGCATCATCATCAAGCTTCCCCAACAGTTCAGCACAGAATCGCGACAAATGAAGCGAGTCGTGTTCATGGAGCCTGTCAAAGATGTAGTCTTCAAGGGCTGACACCTGCAAAGTCGATTGCCATAGTCTGGTTTCCATAGTGCTTTGGCTGCTGGACAGCCGCTAGGGCGAAATGCCACGTTTATCAAATGAAGTGCGATCAAAGTTCAAAGTTTCAAAGCTGGCGGACGTGTCTTTCGCAATCCCTCTGCTTCAATCTGCTCCAAACATATACCCAAAGGACTTTTGAAGAGCAAACAGCAAAGGAAGACCCAACCAGCCAACCAATTCTATCCAATTCTCAAATTCTCACATTGTGCACATTGTCACTCCAAAATCATCCAAAACCTGCACGAAGCTGCGGCCTGTGCAAAGGGTTCCACCAGCAATACGGTCTCAAGAGCCTGGTGGCAGGCAACTTGGGGTGTCGAGGCAGCTATCAACAAAGGTCATTCCATCCTGCAAACAGCTACATTAAGAGCCACTAGAATCTCTGGAAATCAATGCATTGAATGCATAGAATGCTCTGCAACTACAGCACTAGGATCCACCAAGCCAACTCCAGCAATTCAGCACCACTTGGCGTCACAAATCCACCTCTGCAAGTTCACGGCTCCCAGAGCTGTCCTCAGGTCCCGTTTCAACGGCTCGTTGTTGGATCTTAGGGCCCCAACAAATCATCTTTGGCCACTCTTTCAGCCAGAATCAACTTAGCAAAGTATGATTCTGGGTTTCTGTCTGCAACTCTGGCTGAAATACCTGAGGTCATGGAAGACCAGGCTCTCTTCCCGAGTTTATAAACTGCTCAGTTGAGTCCCTCCCTTGAGCTTCCCAACTCCGCGGCCTTAGTCACAGAACGACCTGTGACCTGCAAAACCTGAAACACCTCAAAGTATATTGCGAGCCTCAAACTATCAAAGTAGCCCAAGGATTTCGACGGATTTAGACCATCAAACTATCCTAGCTCAACATCAAGGCGACTTTCTTTCAGAAGTTTTTCGGGATGTGAAGGAAAGTCACGCAAGGCAGGCTATGAATCCGTAGTAAGCTATAATGAAAGCTGAACGTAACGGTACCTAGTCAGCGTGGGAAACGTCCAGAATAGGCTGAAGAACCACAAGCGCAAGCACAGAGATGGCCTGAATCTGGCTCGATTTCTTCGCCTGTCCAAGGACCAGACCTTTCTCCAATTTTGGGGTTGGAGCTCTTCATCGAAATCCCAGGCGCTAAAGGCGCTAAAGGCGCTAAGATCAAATTTCTGAGTTTCATCAGCTTCATCTAAATTTGAAGCTGGTTTGGACAGTGGACAGTGGACCCGACAAAGGCCAAATTTGACACCGAAAACTTTGGTTGGAACAGTAGTAGCCGGCAACTGGCACAGCATGCATCACAAATCCAGCCTGCACCTGGAGTCCTCAGTCAGCCGTTCTCTCACGTGCTGCAATCTTGCAACCACTCTCAATTGCAACTTCGCAAATTCATACAGTAAAACATACTGTAATACTGTCTGTTAACCTGCCTTACCTGCAGGCTTGCAGCTCTTTCTCCAAAGCAGGCCAGGGAATCGTTGCCAATCAATTCCACGTTGCATCATTTTGCGAAGTTGAAACTATCCACGCAACATCTAAATTCGCAATGATCTATATAATTGCTGTTTCTGCTCGGAGACATCTGCAGAGTTCGGGCAACCAGACTTTTCCGACCTGTATGCTGGACCTTGGTGTCATTTTGTGGTGAGATTGCGAACAGGGACCCACACCCTCAGGAAAGGAAGCAAAAAAATGCGTTTAATCAGATGAAAACCAAGTGTCAATCATTTATCTTCACCTATCAACCATAAAATCAGCCCCATTGAAAAAACATCATTGACAGGTGTACTCTTTGCGTCTCTTCCTGCGGGTCCACGCCAATGCGTTTTCTTGTCACCTGAAGAGAAGCGAAAGATCAAATTGTTCTTCTGTGGAATTACCCGTGATCTTTATATAATTCTATTTATAATCCAGACAAACCAGACTGTGCTTCCATGTGGACTGTGCGTTTTAGCTTTTCCAGCTGAGCAGTCGATAGGATACTGCAAAGTGGACTGAGTTTGAATCTGAAAAACATTGAAACTCTAGAAAGTCATTCATCCTGCACTGCCTTTGCTGCCCACTTTCCACCACTCTCCACCACTTTCCGTGCCTTTGAGGCCAGGTAGTTCCGCAAACGAGCCTGGTAGCTGGTAGCCAAATCGGTCAAGGCAAACTTTTGGTTCTGAGATGTTCTGAGCTCACAGCAAACGGCTGCAGCAAACCCTCAAATATCAATCATCAAAATCATCAAATATCATCCCATTTCCATCATTTTCCCATTTGCGAAAACAGCCTGGAACCCGACTGGAACCCCTTGGAAAGGAGCCCCAAGCCCATCCACAATTTTAGTTTCACTGTGCACAGGATAGCTGAGCTGGCTGGCCGCTGGTGAGGCGGCCGAAACCAAGTTGGACGGAGCCTCAGACCAGAAAAATCATCATGTTGCAGCATGTTGCATGTCTTTGGCTGATGGGAAACTAGCATTCGTGTCAGCCCTGAAGAAACCCGGATATGATTGGGAGGGTTTCCATGTCTTATCGCCATTCGGGGGGAACCCACAACAGATTTCATCAGCCAGGGTCGAATCTTGGGTTGACATCACCTACGGGTCCAAGATGTGTCAAACAACAGGTCTATCACCGCCGGGCTACCGACCATACGTGGGATGGTGCGGCCAGGCCTCGAAAAATCATGCTTTCCATCAGCTGAAAATGCAATCCCAACTTGAACGAATGAGCATGATTTTTGCTGCTCAAGGGCAAAAACTTGCAAAGTCCTGCAGAAGATCATGCTACCAAGGAAGTGAGGAAATGTCTCACAGCTTGAAACTGCTGCAGATCTCTAGTCACCTATCTCAGAATCTAAAATTGCCATGCAAAATAATGCAACAAAAGGTGACTCGCCGCCGACAGACAATAATCAAAGTCAATATATATATATATATATGTGATTATATAAATATACATACGTATTTGTTCAGTTCAGCAATGACATTGAGATGGCAATCGCAACTGGGCTCCGCACCCAGCGCTTGCCTTTGCAGCCTGCGCAAAGATCAAAGCAATTTGCATAGTCAAGAGGGCTTTTGTTGCAAAGGTGCAACTCTGAACTGGTTCCAGTTCAGTTGGAATATTTCTTGCTGATGCACGTTTGCATTCCATGTCACAGGCGACTTCCCCGGCACTGACCAGACGGCTCCATAAAGGCAGAGCAGGGTGAAATATGTCTCTTCAACAAGAGAACTGCCAGATATCTAACCTCAGTTGAATCCCACCAACACCTTTAAAACCATGTGTGAAAAACCCATTGACAAGTGCCTAAAAAAGCGATGATACAAAGTGCATCAAAGTGCAATGAAAACACAGCAGCCGATCCAATGGTTAAATTGTTTGGGATCCCTTGGGTCACAGCTCCGTGCCTTGCTTCGATCAGATGTCTCGGAGAAGCCTGTGCAGGCGATCTTGAAGAACTGGGTACGGTCAAAACCGTCAAAACCCAACGGCATCCTGGTTTTCACGTCAAGACAGCTGTTCATGGATGCTCATCATGCTCATCCCTCCCAAAAGATCTTCATTAAGTTTCTGAATTCTCCAGGTTCCACTTGTTGGAAGTGAGGCATTGAACTAGCTGCCATCCTTTACCTTCTCCATTCAGCAGTTTGTCATGGCGCAAGTTCAGAGATACATTCTGCAAGACTTGCGTGCTACACTATCGGTTCCAACAAGCAAACAGCGGGCTGTGGGTCACAGGGGAAGCACCAACAATCTGATTCCAACCTCCAAAGGGCACCAAAAGAGACTTGAAATTCGGCAAGGACCTAGGTTGCCAGGCGGCAATCGGATTTGTAGCTTCAAGATCTTCAAGATTGAAAGGGTGGTACGCTGGTGGCCAACATTCTACATGCCCTCTATGGCAAAACGCTGATGCTGTAAGCTGCCAGTGTTTAGTCTGATGCAAGGGACCCTGCACAAGTTGGGAGGAACAATATCATTGACCATCTTCCACTGAGTCTGTTTTCTGATGGATATTCAAAGAATCCAAACGGTTTAAAGTTTCAGGTTCCTTCCATCAACTTATGCACAACTGGATTGCAGCCTCGCAAGTTCACATTTCTGGGTTCCGGGCGAGTTCAGGGACATCCCACCGTTAGGGCTCATGCGAATCTGCAAACATGTTGCTGTTGACACACAGCAGAAGTGAAGTGACAAGGCTGTGGGCAAAACTGCGAAACCCCAGCGGCTTAGCCCTGCAAAAGATAAACTGACTCTGCGGCACAAAAGCTCTTTTCCGAGGCTGCTGCTCCAGAAAATCCACTGTTGATTCGTGGCATCTGGGGGTTCAAGCACAAAAGTAGAACACAAACACCAAATAAGAATAAAAATGTCTTGTACAATGCATCTCAAAGCTTGGAGCTATGGAAGCTTGAACACCCAGCAATTCCCTTTTCAGGGAGCTGTACTCAAGAAGCCTCGTTGAACCTCTTTGCTATACAAAATTTGCGCCTGGATTCGATGGGAAGACTGGGAGATCAGGTTCCAGTCAGCCAACACAGCCTCCCCACTTTGAGCATTGCAAACAATTAGGGGCTGGTGGCATTGGTCACAGTCTGTCCCCCAGATTGCCTCAGCCAAAGTTGTGGCAAATACAAAATGGCCAGCTTTGGCTTGGGCTGCTGCAACCACAGGGGTCTGGTCATCGAAGGCTGGTCACTCCGGCGATATTTCTCATAGGTCTGATAGTCATCTCTCACTGCCCTCGATGAGATTTCAGGATTCTTTGTGTCAGGCAAGATCAATGAGGCACCGGCAGCCACAAAGCAAAGAGCACTGAAGAGTGGGCATGAAATTGCTGCTGGCAAGGTTCCCATGAATGGGGCAAGAAGGCTCCCTGTTCGGGTGGCAATGGCAAAGGTGGGAAGCACACGCTTCTGAGCGGACTCTGGAAAGATGTTTGCCATTGCGACCAGGACTGTGGTGAAGCTCACATCCAAGCACAAGCGGCCGATCACAGCAAAGGAGAGCACAAAGGCGGAACCGGGGACTCCCGTACTGCAAACAAGCAAGCAGATGGCAGCAAGAGTGAAACAGCAACTTTGAACTCGTTTCCTTCCGAAGACATCTGCGCTCATGGCTGCGAGAAAACCCAGGATGTCAGCCATGTTCAACAGCATCGAGCTTTTGTAGACATTGGATGACAACTGCCTAGCAGAGTAGCTCAAGCCAAAGAAAGCACAGCCACAGGCAACAAAGCAGGTTGCCAAAGCAATTTCATGTCGTCTCATCGTTGGGGTCAGTGCATCTGTCGCAGTCGTCTCATCTCTGCCGGTGTATGCTTTGGATCTCTTGGAGGTCTGCAGCTTGTGTTTTGCAATAGATGGAAGGGAACGCAGCGTCTTCCACCAGTTGGGAAACGACACACAAAGTCCAAGCAAAGGCGGCAAAGCATACCACAAAAGTGCCTCCAACCTCCAATCCAAGTTCAAGGTTGGACCACCGCATGCGAATGCCACCAAGATTGAAACGATGCTGTAGAAGACATTCTTCCATACCACTGCCTGGTGCCTGCGATCTGCAGGCATCTTCATCTGGAGAAGCACAATTTGGACGGTTGCAATGTTCATGAGGATTCCATAGACGAATCTCAGCATGGTGAACACCATGAGACTTCCGCCCGTCAAATGAGGAAGAATCACTGTGGCCAATGCGACCAAGAGAAGGCCAGAAGCACTGGCAACCACCAACTCTTCTTTGCTAAAGATGTTCATAGCGTGGCGCAAACACACAGATCCTGCCAGCCACCCTGTGAAGATGGCAGTCTTGGCAACTGGAAGGGTGGATTCAGTGAGCATAGGAAGAGAAGGGTCAGCTGCAATCTTGAGATCCAGGAATACTGGGAGGATATGCCAAGCTGCTTGGAAACTGCCCAACAGGACACCAATCCCCAGAAAATCTCGGAGCATTTGGAACTTCTTCATCTTCTTCACTTGCTTCGTTTGAGTCAAGGTTTGCATCGGGGCACATCTTGCTTTGCATCGAGATCGTGCACCCATTCTGCGCATGGCGCCACCCACCAAGCCAGCCAAGGCCAAGCCTAAGCCGCTCGCTGCAGCGTTCTTAGTTGTCGTTGCCTTGGTTGCCTTGGAGACCTGGACAAATTCTCTGTGACCATTGCCAGAAAGGCGGGGCTTCAGCCAGTAAGGTGTATTGGAGGCTGTGACCCCAGGAAAAGGACTCAACGCCGCTGGTGCCGGCGCCGCTAAAGCCATGGTTTCAAACTAGGGCTCCAGAAAGTCCAGGAGCCAGGAGATTATGTTGATGAGAAGAGATAATCATGTTTCAATGCTCATGAGACCTGAAATTTTAGAAAAATCTTTGGTTTTCATTGGCACGCTTTCCTCAATTAATGATTACTGGATTGCTGATGCCTTGATGAACTACAAACAACACAACATGTTGGCCACTGGACCGAAAGGAGTGCAGGGCAGTGTGCAGGGCGGTGTGCGGCTCAGTGTGACAAGGGGAGCACAACAATGGGTGTCTCTGTGAATGCAGATGATCCTTTCTTGAATTGGTTCGGAAATACAGTACCATTCTTGAATTGGCTGAAATACTTCCGTGGCCAGACTTGCAGTAGCACCTACTGTAATGTGCTCAGTCTTCCAGCCAACATAGCACGATGCAGACTGCCTTCTTGCACATAGGAGACATTCAGAAATGGAACTGATGCACAAAACCAGAAGGCGATGTCATGAACCAACATCTTGCACCTTCTTTGCAAACCTACGAGACTCTCCGCGGACCAGAAGTTGCCATGACTCCACCAGGAACTTCGCCTTGACGGGCTTGGCCAAAAGTCGAAGAACCGACAGCAGCGGACTGTTGGCGCTGCCTCCGGGGTGGATTCTGCAGGAAGTATACACATGTGAAAGGCTTATGAGCTACCCGCTTCCAATTTACATGAGCCACATTGTCCCAGGATGCAAACATTAAAAACAGAAATTAAAGGACCGGATAACCCCACATGTTACCAACTTCTTTAGACTTAGACTGACCATAGAAGAGCAAGAAGGGAAGAGGAAGTATAAGAGTGATGGAGCGGTGATGGTGAGTGAGTTTGTGTGTATGTATGTATGTTCATGTACAGTGAGTGAGTGAGAGTGTGAGTGAGTGATGCCAGTGTGGTGTGTGTGAGTGAGGGATGTGAGAGTGAGTGAAGTGAGTGAAGTGAAGTGAAGTGAAGTGAAGTGAAGTGAAGTGAAGTGAAGTGAGGTGAAGTGAAGTGAAGTGAAGTGAGTGAGTGGGTGAGTGAGTGAGTGCGGTAGGTGAGGTAGGTGAGGTAGGTGAGGTAGGTGGTGAGGTAGGGGAGGTAGGTGAGGTAGGTGAGGTAGGTGAGGTAGGTGAGGTAGGTGAGGTAGGTGAGGTAGGTGAGTGAGTGAGTGAGTGAGTGAGTGAGTGAGTGAGTGAGTGAGTGAGTGAATGTGAGTGAGTGTGAGTGATGGTTTTCTCCAGAGCTTCTATGAGCTTCTCCCATCTTCCTGGTGGCCCCAGGCTGCCTCTGGCCGGTGGATAGTCGGGCGTCCAAGTCGCACCCTCCTGCCAATATGCATTGGCCTGGACAAAAGAACTGGCTTGAAGGCCAAAAATGCCAGCAAAAACATGAACACCACCAAAGACATGTTCAAGATGGCGCTTGCAGTCGAGTATATGAAGGCGGTTGTCTCAGATGCGACTTGGATCCCTGCAGTTTGTGAGGCGCATAATGTTGTGGATGGATGGCACATCCAGTCGAAAACAGTGGTTTGCCAGAGAGGAGTCAAAGCGTTGCACGCAGTCGAAGCAGTACAAAAATCTGCTCAGAGAATTTCAGCGGCCATACTGCATGGGCTATTTGCTGAGAAGAAACAATCTAGCATCTTGACCGGGAACACACCGGTCCCAAATCCAGACCCCAGACAATCCAAGGAGGATGCACGGCAGGAGAATGCGGATGAAGAGCAGGAACAACAGGACTCAGAGGAGTTTGGGCCCATCCAGAACTTCGGCACAGCCAGTTTGAGTGAGTGAGTGAGTGAGTGAGTGAGTGAGTGAGTGGGTGAGTGAGTGAGTGAGTGAGTGCGTCAGTGAGTCAGTCGTGTGTGAGTTGTGAGTGTGAGTGAGTGAGTGTGTGAGTGTGTGAGTGAGTGAGTGAGTGTCTGCGTTCTCTTTTCCGTTCCCGGCACAGACCGGAAACATCATAACTGCATGGCATAACTTAAAAGTGATTTGAATAGCCTACACCAAGTCAAGTCAATGTGGGGAGCAAAAACCCCACACGTCAATGTGAGGAACAAACTGTTGGTGTGCCTGACATATTCAACACCATACATGTTTAACACACATTCGAAACGGCCTCGCCTTTCCAGCCTTCCGACACACTATCAAAACGATGGTGTGCTCACCATACTTTCGCTGACCAAAGTAATGTTCTGCACTCTTTCGAGCGCAGCCGCACATTTTGTGAATTCTTTCTGCATGCCCTGTGGCTGGTAAACATCGCTGGCACATGATGATGATGATGATGATGATGATGATGATGATGTCTCCGACTGACTGCTGCGGAACAAACATCAGTTCACATCGGTTCGTCCAATTTCTTTAAAAAAAACTCATCGTCAAAACTCCCGGAACTGGAGCTGCAGCCCAGAGGCAAGAGCCTGCCTTGGAGTAGTTGCTCACGGAGGTGCTGAGTCAGGCGACGAACCGACCTGCCCCCCGCCAAGGTGGGGGAACCATCCTAGCCGCTAGCCCCTGAGAATATTATAATAGGAACGGGCAATAGTTACATATATAATATATATATATATATATTTGAACAGTGTAAGCAAATCGCTAAGGTTGTCAAATCGAAATATTCCATAGCTGTGAGACAATGATTCGACGATATGCACCGCATCACAATACGTGACCAAGTGTGTAATGTCATGGCGAGCCTAACTAAAACTTTTGTCAGTCCCGAGATTGTCCTGCAACAGCTTGACGCGATTACTGCTTGCAGCAGCTGAACCAAAGCGCGCACGAGGACAACCTGGTCGTCCGTCGCGTTTTGGACGGAGGTGGATACCCTCGCAGGCAGATAGCCAGTCACACGTCTCGTGTGTGTACATGTTGAGTTTGTCTGCTGATAGGTGGGAACCACATGACACCACCGCCAGCCACTGTAACGCGTCCATCTGTTTCGCCTGGGCAGTGGCGAGGTGTTTCTCCTGGCTTCAAAACAGCAAGGTAGCTGTTGTTCTCCTTGCTCACCCTTTTCTTCACACATCTGTGATGACCTTGGTGATCGCCGTGATGTTCTTCTCCAGCAAATAGCTAGTTACTTGCTTCTTCAAAATGACCTCGTCAACCATCAATTTGAGGCCACTCGATCAATCCCAAAAAAGGTCAATGGACCTTCTCAAAGGGGATCACTTTGAAGAAGCAACAGAAAATAGTTTTTGCTTTTCTTTTACTTAGAAAAGTCCGTCCGTCCAGAGAGAGGCCTATCTGCCCACAACAAGAGATCGGGGGGAACCGGGGTTACAGGCCGAAGGTTATCATAGATTCAATTGGGAGGAAGTGACAATAGATGTACCGTGGCTGATGGCAAGGCCATGGTACACCATCACTTCCTTTTAAAATCATAAGACCTGAGGAGGAGCCTGGACACGTATACCTTGTATCGTGTGTGCATGTGTCGAGGGGTAAGGTGGCGAAGTCCCGTTTCCATGCGAAACAGAAAGAAGGACAACGATGCGACGCGAAACCAACGTGTATCGATATGCAATGACGGGCGTGTGCTTTGGGGCCCCCCAACCAAGGTGGTTTGCCATCTCCCCAAAAAATATAAACGGGCGGACCTGGCAGGAGGCGGAGGTCGGTGGGCTGGGGCAAACTCAGTGCTACGATATCAAATATAATGGGACAAAGTCAGTACCACGATCTCATATAATGGGGTTGCCCTGATGCTCCCTTCCAGAATCTTGCTGGGATTAGGGTCCTGGGTCCTGACGGTACCTTGCACTGAGACTCTTATCCTAGGCTGTACCCATCTTTTGGTCATAAACTCTAATCGCATGACTGCAACAAGATGTGGCAGCAGCCTATCGCTCTCTCCCCCCCACCAGTGCCCGGGGCCCTGGCCTGACGAAAACGCAGATGCAAAGAAGCATCACAGACCTGCAAAACTTGCATGGTCGGTCCTGGGTCCTGACGGTACCCTGCACTGAGACTCTTATCCTAGGCTGTATCCATCTTTTGGTTACAAACTGTAATCGCATGACTGCAACAAGATGTGGCAGCAGCCTATCGCTCTCTTCCCCCCACCAGTGCCCGGGGCCCTGGCCTGACGAAAACGCAGATGCAAAGAAGCATCACACACCTGCAAAACTTTCATGGTCGGTTGGTGGAGCGCATGGAAAGTGAGTCACGGTGAGTGAGAGTGATGGAGAGTGAGCCAAACCAGATTGATATCAGTGAGGAAGAGTGAGCCAAACCAGATTGTTGTCTACAATCTCGACAGAAAAAATCGCACTGAGATCCCAGCTCGTGAAAACACTGGAACGGTCCAGCTCAGTGATCCATCGGAGCCTGTCCGCTCGAGTCCAGGGTCGTGGCCTCCTGACAGCGGAGATGCATATAAGAGCATCACAGACTTGCGTAATTTTCAATCATGGCGACGCAGCATGCAACCAGAAGCCATGCTAGACTTGCAAACAATCAGACATGTCGAAATGCCTTGCTTTTTTTTTCTGCGAAGTCGACATGTTGCGTGAAGTTGCACAAAACTGCAAAAAATGTAGGAGCCAAATCCGAGAAATGTCTTTGTGAGCAGCTACGTTGTCCCAAGCACGCGGAGCGAGGCAAATCAACAAGACGCTTCAAGTTCCGTTTCCGACTGAGTGCTGCGGAACAAGCCAAAGCTCACATCTCTTCGTTGGATCGGGTGGCTGCGACTGGGCATGCTTGCGCAAACATGCGGAGCCAGGAAAATCAGCAAGACGCTTCAGAACCAGTCTCCGACTGACTGCTGCGGAACAAACATCAGTTCACATCGGTTCGTCCAATTTCTTTAAAAAAAAACTCATCGTCAAAACTCCCGGAACTGGAGCTGCAGCCCAGAGGCAAGAGCCTGCCTTGGAGTAGTTGCTCACGGAGGTGCTGAGTCAGGCGACGAACCGACCTGCCCCCCGCCAAGGTGGGGGAACCATCCTAGCCGCTAGCCCCTGAGAATATTGTAATAGGAACGGGCAATAGTTACATATATAATATATATATTTGAAATATATAATAT